TAGAGGGATTGTTACTCCTTAAATTAAATAGTATGCAATAAATGACTGTAAATCAAAATTTGAAGCCTTGAATAAGAATCTATTCTGGGAAAGCACAGTGGGTTATACAGAAAAAGCTAGCGGGGAGGGATGCTTTCTTCTCCCCTGTGTTGCAGAGTGTTTTTGTTAGAAGGTCAAGCGGTTGAGTCTTTGCCGCTGGATTACAGTATTAGTTTTCAATTAGACATTGATATTTAGCAATGGTTCTCCATATATATATTTTTATTTTTTTTTAAAGCTTTATTCATAATTCGGAAAGTAGTCAACGTGTATTTTATGACCTTGGTGTACTCCTCAGGAGGTATCTTGTCTGGTTTTTGACTTAAAAATACATGGCAGTCAGTTTAGACAGCTGCTTCAAAAAAAACCCCAAAACAATTAATAAATGGAGATACAGAATCCCATGCATAGCTTTTTGCTGTAATACTTAAAAAGCTAACTTTCTATAGTGTAGTGAGGTATCTTTAAATTTCTGACTAGTGAGGCTATTTAAAATGTCTTGATTTTTTTAGCTTTAAATGAAGCACTGACTTGTCTTTAGATACTAGGAGACAGGAAGGGCAGCGAAGTAGTTGAATACAAAGGCAGAACAGACTGCTCTATGTTTAGAAGAACAGGAAGGAAACAGTGTATGAGAGAAGCAGGAGTTGTGAGAATTTGAGTTGTAAGGTAAGCTAAATCTAAGGGAGGGATGGCTCTTTCATTGTGAAACGCCCTAGAGTGCATAAGGTTTATCAGACAAAATATATGTTCTGTTGTATTAAAACTTCAGAATTTTGACACCGCTTGTTTTATACTGCTCTAAAAGTTCCTTCCAACTGCATTAAAAGGAGGAACTATTCTCAAAATAAGTTGTAGTCTCTCTATTCCAGTCTTGGCTTGTGCAGTGCGTGGAGAGGAAAAAAAAAGAAAAGTATAAATATTTCAGAAATGAGGCCTGACACATTTAGTAGGCCATTTGAGCGTGGAAAAAGGGGTCATCAAAATTTCAGAAGGGCTCTTATGATAAAAGTTTCCATTCTACCTGACTGATCTTAGCAGTTTCTTTACTCTCTGTGTATTGCACAACTCAGGTTACCAGCAGGCTTTCCACTCCACAGTACTTGTCCCCTTATTTGAGAAGAGAAAATTGATGAGTAGGGAGACACTGTCCTTGGCTTCGGGATTACACTCCTGGAGCAGGCAGCTTGAGATGGACACAGTCTTTCATGGTTCCCTCTAAGTGTCACATGTGAATTTGGCTGCTTTGTTGATCTTTCCATTGTCTTACTTTGCAAAGAGGAAGTGTAGGGACATGTTATGCTGTTAGTATTTCCCTGTCAATGAAAGGCACATGAGATAGCAACAATAATGCCATGCTTTGATACAGTGGCTTTTGCATCAAAGGTCATTCTTGCTGACTACATGATGTACATAGCCTTGTGTGCAAAGGAAATAACTTCATTTGGCAAGAAAGTTATACACAGAAGCAAAGTTTTAAACAGATTTTTAAAGCTCTCCGTGGCAAAGATTGTCTACAAAAAACCAGAAAGGATACAGATAAAATACTGACCAATGAACCAGTATCCTAAGCAACCCCAAATAGATGGGAGATACCAGATATTTTGCTGTAAGTTAGTAAGCAGAGTTTAATTTCCCTGAGGTATGCAGGTTTACAGCTTACCTTTTCAGCATCTTTCATTGTGCCTTAAGACTTTTTGCAGTGGCTGCCATTTGTGGCAGTAGGGGGGTTGTGTAGTTGGTTTCCTAAAATACGTCACGTGGGGGTTGTGCCCAAGTCTCCTCTTGGTGTTTCCTGCCTATTGCTGTAAATAAAGACATTTTAATCCTTTGTCTTCCTTCTTATTGCAAGGGGGTTTGTAACTTCCTACTCCGATTTTGTTCTGGCGTTTCTCTAGAAAACTTAATGACAACTGTTGCCTGCTCTCTTGTTCTGTAAATCTACCAGCCCCATTTCTCATTTAGCAAGTACTAATGAAGGTGCTAAAATTAGTAAATTGGAGCATCACAGGTCTGGCTTTGTTCATAGTACATTAAAGTGATGGGTTTGACGATATTAATTTGGAAGTGTTGTGCTTCATGATGAAAGAAGCAAAGCATTTTGTGACTTGTAACTAGGAATGTTGGCAACTTAGAAATGCTGTGTCATTGCTGTAAGATGACACAGCACCATCACTCTCATTCTGTCAGTTCTGATTCTTTGACTACTTTTTTGGTAAATACTCTTTAAAGGACTGATTGAATGCTTGAAGATTTTTTTCAAATGAACATGGGAATATCTCTCTTGTTTTGTTGACTAGAGTTATATTTCTTTTTTAAAATGTATGTTAGATATAATGAAGTCCATTGTATCATACATTATCTGGTATGGCATTAGTATCTAAAGAACTCTTATCCTGTTGGCTGGAACAGCAGGGTATCATTTCTGGATTTTGTCTCTAGCTATTTTTGGTCAGAAAAAGAGTAATAAAACATCTCTTGTTTAGTCTAACTGTTCCCATGATGCATATCAGGCACAGAGGGAAAGTGTTTCCAAATAGAATTCTTAGAAAAAACAATAAATCATTCTCATGTTAGTAGTGCTGTGCCCTGTGAGAAACAGAATCATTCTTCAGAGCCAGGACAAGTCAAAAAAGATATTAATTCAACTCTTCATCCATGTACTCATTTGTAGCTGTATTCTTCATTCTGAAGGTGCAAAGAAAGAGGTGATAAGATAATTGCTTATTTGTTTCAACCTTATACCAATGATCACTGGAAAAAAAGTGATTGGCAGCAAAATCTTGCTTGGCCTGTTTGAGCATTACACATCATAGCTTAACTTGTGAAATATTTATTTTAGTAGACTAGTAAAAAGCTGGGATATCTGTGTAAGAAGGGCAAGTTGTTCTGTATAATATCTGAATCTACTTTCCACAAAGGTCTTCCTTCCTATAAAACGATCTCAGCCAGGGCTCCAGGTCGCATCTCTGAGCAGCTCATGCCCAGGCTCTTACTAGGTAATTAGTATGGATTTGCTATTTTACCTACTACTTGTGTTCATGATACTTGTAGGTGCATGATCTACCTGAAACCTTGTAGTTCTCCATCAAGTTCAGTCAAAACTGAAATTTGCACAAGAAATTGGGAAGGAAACTGATGAATGTGGGTACAGCATGACTGCACAGCTTAAAGAAACCCAGCTAAAAAACTATTTTTGGAGCTTAGCATCTTCCTGCTTCCTGCAAAAACTGAATGAAAGAACTGCCACACCTGATCAGTTCTTTGCTGTATCAAGGGCTTCAGACACATTTTAAACTGTGTGCCATGTGTGGAAAACACGAGTGACTAGTCTCCTGACTGGTCTCCTTTAACCTTTCTTGAATCTGGGGGCTGTCCAGGATATGTATATGGAAATTTATGGTTTGTGATAAATGAGAAGCCAGACTGGCAGACTATTTTTGGCCTTAAAGTGCATGAGGTCAACTTCCATAGTTTCATTACAAAACTTGGAAAGTGTTTTCACCTCTGGTCCAAATGCTGTGGATATAGGAATTCCATACTTTTCCATGGCTCTACAGCTTTTGGCATAAATGTACTAAATTTTGCCAAACGGAAGAAAATACAATAGTAAATGAAGCTACAGCTACTTCAAAAGCCAGAAGTAAAAGCCACTTTTTGTTTATTTGGGTTTTTTAACTCTCTGGATTAACTCACTGCTTCTCAGATTCATTTAGTGTACTCTGCATCTTCTGCACTGTAGCTGTGATCATCAGAGCCTCAATTTCTTCTAGTCTGTAAGTACATGAAGGGCAAAGACAGTGCAGGCTAGACCAGAACTTTGCACTCTAAGCTATCAAACCTGTAATGCAGAGCAGAGTTGCCAGATTTGTTTAAACATTACTTGTTCCTAGCTTTAGTGTTTAGCATGCAAGACTTGGGTTTAACTGGGAAGAATTTAACCTGTGAAGCTTATTTACAATTCAAGTGAAGGAATTAACATCTTAAGACACACAGTAGGGGCTGTAAGGGGACTTGTGAGGCATTTTTAACTCGGAAGGCTGACAGAGATACACCTTCATAGTGGAAGGAGACAGGTAGAAATGTCTGAGCCAGCAGGTTCTTTTCTTTAAATGCTTGTTGGACATGGATTTTTTTTTCCCCTAGTTTGATGTTTTTTGGGGTTTTTTTTTTTTTTTTGAATGAGACAAAGATGCATGATGTAATTTATCCTGGAAAGGACTGGAATTTTAAATTTATATGAAGCCTGCAGCCCACTTCTGAGATAGTTCACGTGAGCATGCTGATTCCATCATGATGTTCTAACAGTGGTTGTTTTGGAAGATCTGGATTAAAGCTGCTTGAGAGGGAGGTGGTAAGGAAAACAGGCTTGGATACGCTGCATTAAAAGAACATCATTGTGCATTAAGAATCTATTCATAAAAGAAATTTGCAGCTAGTTTATTTATGATATCTAAAACTCAACTTTTGCAAAGCCTTATCTGCTGCTCAACTGTGTACTTTATTTTTTCCTTTAGGATTTAAGTTGATGTTGGTCTGTCCTGCACTCTGCCTCTACATACAAGAGGTGGCTTAGAACCAAGCCTAGAGTAAGATGAAAACATTTTATAACTCAAAGCAGAATGTGAAAATAAAAACAGTACTAAGACTTAGCAGATTATTTTGTTTGTCTAGGCATTTGTCATGCCTAGAGGAGCTAGTAACCTAGCCTAATATCATGTGAAGAGACATTTATCACAAACAGGTATAGCCTAAATGCCTGAGACATTGTCAAAAGCTTTGCTTGTGTGTCAACGTACAACTAAATGAAAAACTCATTCCTCTTAGGAGTGCGCCGTCAAATGTTGTACATGTGGTCTTACTTGGCATCCTGGGGTATTATCTGCCCTGCTGTTGCTGTACTGTGGGTGGTACTACTTGGCTGTGAATAAAGACTTAACAATGGCCTTTTGTTTTCTTAGTTCCTCATTGTTCCTGCAATTGTGGGTAGTGCCCTTCTCCACCGACTTTCTGATGATCGATGGGAAAAGATAACAGCATGGATGTATGGCATGGGGCTCTGCGCACTCTTCATTGTCTCCACAGTATTTCATATCGTTTCTTGGAAAAAGAGTCACTTAAGGTATCACTGTAAGATGGATAAGATGTTTTATTTTCATGTTCTGCTGCTTTTCCATTGTGTTTCTCAGTCAAAAACATGATTTTAGAGAAGACTGGAGGGGGTACCTTGTATTGAATCATGAAAAAACCTCCCTCAATTCTGTTAGAAGAAATAGTGAGCCATGCTCATATACAGACTTCAATATCTGCTCCTTTTTTGCAAGGAAAATCTGGCGTTTTTTAGGCCCTAGTGGGTCGTAAACCAGAAGTTGCATGGGAAAATGTAAATCAAAGTGCATGGCAGATACAACCCCACTGCAGAAATGAGAATGCTGTCTGGGACTATGGCATGCTTGAATACTTTGAGGAACGCAGATTTTGACAAGAGAATTATAACACAGTACAGAGGTAACAAGCAGAAAGCCTCCTTGGGAGCAAGGCAGCAATAGCAAAACTAATTGGATTTAACCAGTAGTCACTGAATAGTTACAGTTTCTGGATTAGGCACAGTTAATGTGGTGGCTTTCTACCTCCTTACCAGAGAGCAGGATGCATGATGGGGTGGAGACAGGGAGAGGAATGGAGGAATGCTCATCTCCCCTGTGTCTCACTTATGACCTCCTAAAGTTGAAGACAGCTAGACAGTCTTCCAAATGGTTTTAAGAGGTTATGGAGCTGATGGTATGTTCCCCAAAGTAATTTCAAGGTGTTTGAAGAAACTGAGATGATACAAAAGTCTTCAAAATCTGTTTTGGTGACTTGTTCTCTCTCTCTTACTAGGACAATGGAGCATTGCTTTCACATGTGTGACAGAATGATGATCTATGTCTTTATTGCGGCATCATATGCACCATGGTAAGAAATCTGAAGCTCAGCTGCGGTATTAAAGCTTTTTCCAATGTAAACAGTTTCTCATTGCAGCTTTCCACAATCTTCTTAGATGCAATTGACCACATTCTGTGTTGTGAAATGCAACGTATTTTAATGTCCTGGGATTTGCTGAACAGCAAATAGTATTAGAAAACAGCAGAAAGTAGTTTATTCATATTCCACATATCCTAGTTTACGCTTCCCTCACATCAATGTGAACGCACCTTCTGCCTCTCCACGTATAGAATGTTCAAGTGTCTTCTCCCCTGTCATGCTGATGTTATAGCTCTGAGTATTTGTTTATTTTATCAAGCCCTGCTACTTTTGTGTCAGCATGGTCCATTCATTCATCGCTTTTGTCTCTTGAAATCTTTGTGCCTCCAGGTTAAATCTACGTGAGCTTGGACCTCTAGCATCTCACATGCGTTGGCTTATCTGGCTGATGGCTGCTGGAGGAACCATTTATGTATTTCTCTACCATGAAAAGTAAGAATTACTGTTTTCATTTAACTTTAAACTGAAATTAAAAGGTGGAGGCTTTCTTACTTTCTGAGTGTTCCTATCCAGCCTTTCACACACTGAAATAAGAGCTTTGAAACAGTGGAAATACATGATGAGAAAGATGCTAACTTTCATCTTATCAGATAATTGTATTCACCCTGTCATAACATGTCCTTAGATTATTGTCTTCTCCTAAAGGGGTCGGAGGGAAGTATCCGCTTTTAAAACTTTTGCTACAAGAAAGCAGGGGTCAGAGTAAATAAGAAACCAGTTGAAATGATGGGGTTTTTTTTTATGCCCCTGATTTTTGTAGCATTGTGTGTAGATTATACCACAACATTATATTGCTCAGATATACTGATGCATATTGACTCCTGCTAGCTTCTTGGTTTTGTTTTGAGATGCAAGTCCTTGCGTTCCAGATCTGAATTCTTGAGCTTGCTTTCATTACTTATCCTCAGGGAGCAAGACCCAACTTTTTTGATTTGAAGATGTGCTACTGAGGTTCTGGTCAAATAAGAAAATACAAGTTGTCCCAATGTTATATTTTCACTAGTACTTAAGGCATTTAGACAGTATTTAGTGAAGAAGGTATTGCCTGCAAGAGCAGCATGCAGAGATAAATACTAGTTTTATTTTTGTTATAAAACATAGGTTATCTCTCTGCATAGGAAGCTTTTTAAATAGCTTAATGGACCCATGCTAACATAAAATTGAAAATATTTTCCTTACTGTTGAAGGAAATGTTCATCCTCTTGTACACCTCGTTAAATAACTAAAATTGTTCCTTTTTAGGTATAAGATTGTTGAACTCTTTTTCTATTTAGCGATGGGATTTTCTCCTGCTCTAGTAGTGACATCCATGGTAAGGAATGTGACTGTTAATATTACGCACACACTTTCCTTTTATAACTAGCTTAAGTTCCAGTGCAGCTCTCTTTCTTCTCAAAAGGTGTTAATTTTAGTCTACCATAATTGTAAATCTTTGCAGAAGAACCACATATAGCCATTTATATTTTGGGTTTATAATTTACATTCAATGAAATGCTACTTTTCGTTCAATCTGGGCTGCACAATCTATATAAAAAGAGCTTAGGTTCCAAATTTAACTTCTAAAGACCCTCACTCCTGAAAGAGTATTGGATGTAACAATTCAATTACTTTCATTTTAGTAAAAATGATAAAGATGTGAAGTATCTCAGCCTGTCAAGGAATGTTTCTAGATTTTACTATTTATGAACTTACTTAATGGCCACTTAGAATCATAGAACAGTTTGGTTGGAAAAGACCATTATGATCATCTAGACCAACCTGGCATTGCCAAGCTCACCCCTAAAGCATGTCCCCAAGTACCACATCTACATGTCCTTTAAATACCTCCAGGGATGGTGCCTCCACCACTTCCCTGGGCAGCCTGTTCCAATACTCGACAACCCTTTCAGTGAATATTTTCCTAATATCCAACCTAAACCTCCCTTCATGCAACTTAAGGCCATTCCCTCTTGTCGTATCACTTGTTATTTGGGAGAAGAGACCAACACCCACCTCACTGCACCCTCTGCTCACATAGTTGTAGAGGGCAATAAGGTCTCTCCTCAGCCTCCTCCAAACTGAACAACCCCAGTTCCCTCAGCCGGGAACTCATCACACTTGTGCTCCAGACCCTTCCCCAGCTCCGTTGCCCTTCTCTGGACACGCTCCAGCACCTCCATGTCCTTCTTGGAGTGAGGGGCCCAAAACTGAACCCAGCACTCAAGGTGCAGCCTCACCAGTGCCCAGTACAGGGGCACAATCACTTTCCTACTCCTGCTGGGCACATGATTTCTGCTCCAGGCCAGGATGCCATTGGCCTTCTTGGCTACCCGAGCACTCTGCTGGCTCATGTTCAGCCGGCTGCCGACAAACACCCCCAGGTCCTTTTCTGCCAGGCAGCTCTCCAGCCACTCTTCCCCAAGCCTGTAGCGCTGCATGGGGTTGTTGTGACCAAAATGCAGGACCCGGCACTTGGCCTTGTTAAACCTCATACAATTGGCCTCAGCCCACTTATCACTTAACAAATTGGCAAAGAAGCTTTTTATTTAGGAAAGTGAAATGGACTTCAGGTAACACATTGCTCTCTTTTTCTTGGTATATGTAAGAATTCTCTGGAAAATCTAATCAATTGATTCTATGGTCTGGACCAAGATGGGGGAAGTAAACTGATTCTTGCCCCCCTCAAAATTACTTGGGGACAACAAAGCTAGAAGATTTTGTCTCTGACTAGAGGTTTCTTTTTATCAATGAAGCACGGGAAAAATTGAAAAGTTGAGAAGTGGTTGAACTGTATCTGAGATACTTGATCTCTCAGCAGTTGGTGGGTTGGTTTTTTTAAAAGAAAAGGTTTCTTGGTGCATCTGTAAAGCATCCTACTCTGTCTTGTTCACCTCAAAACTTGTAGTTACAGATTTTAAATAACTTTGAATAACCCTTTCTGCTGGTAATATAAATCTGGCACCTATACAAGGTAATGCCTGTTACAGTACTTAACTGTTCCCCATGAATGCTGTTCTATACCAAAACCTTGCTGGATGCTTCATCCAACTAGCAGGAGTTGCATTAAACTCACACTTACACACACACATAGTAACGTGGCTTTCTTTTTCTCCATGTTTGTCTGCTCTGCTAATGAGCCTGAAGCAAAACATCAAACTTGTCTTCATTCTTGAGTTATCCCACTGTTACTTCTATAATGCTATTGAGACATATTATATAAATATATTATTATATATTTCACAAAGTGTAATGTGAATATATGGGGTTCCTAACTTGTCCATCTGTCGCATCCAAGATGTTCTGAGTTGACAGACAGCTTTCTTCTATTGAGGGGAAAGCATTTTGTACCTAAAAACCCTTTCCTTCCTTTACACTCTGATCTTACCCCTAATCTTTCCTTGTTGATTGACAGAGCAACACCGATGGACTTCAGGAGGTTGCCTGGGGAGGCTTGATATATTGTCTGGGTGTGGTGTTCTTCAAAAGCGATGGAGTCATTCCGTTTGCCCATGCCATCTGGCACTTATTTGTGGCCACAGCAGCTGCTGTTCATTACTATGCCATTTGGAAGTACCTTTACAGAAGTCCTGCAGACATAATTCGACACTTGTGAGATATATACATATAAAAAAAATAATCTGCACTTGGCCTCTGTAACAGTATTATTTGACTTAAGGAATTTGGGGAAATTGGAAAATTGCACAGAAAAACTGCACTGACTTTGGTAGTTCTCTGAACACAATTACTGTGAACTGATGTTGTATGTGTCCTGCCATTGCCCATCATATGGCAAGTGCTGTAAATAACCAAGATACTGTACTGCAGTACCAAGAGTTCATTCCATGTTACTAGAACTGGCTACCTGATGTTTACAAATAAATTTTGTATTCTAGTTTAATTTTACAATTTTTAACTACATGAATTTTTCTAAATTAGTGATTCAAATGGTGAAGTCAGTGCAATAGCGAAAATGTAACTCTTGATTTGAAGTCACCTTTCCGCTAGTCATTTCTTAAACATGAATCACAGACAAATAATCTACTTTTACCACCCATTATCTTGGTATAATGTGATTTTTATAGAAATTTTTTGTGTTTTTTGTAAACTTTGAAAGTACATTTATTGAACTGAAAACACACAACTGTCATCTATGCAGTTATTCATGTTGCAAAATCTTGCCAGAAACGGTTACGTTCCACATACTGTACTGACAAGCAAACATTGTACCTCTTCCGAAGGCTGTATTACAAGTGTAATAACCACTTTTACAAACTAAAATCTAAATGTGATTCTGCTGAATTTTAACATTATAATATTCTGCTCATCTATAGTACCACTTAAACAGCACCTTAATTTGACATGTGTGATGGAAATGAAGTGCTTTAAAAGAAATAGCTAAGAGGAGTTTCTCCTTGAGATTCCCAGCAGTTTGGATGAAAGCTGACTTACCGAGGGTTGGCAGCGTTGAGGAATGTGGACAGCTAATATCCCCCTCTGCACACCAGAGAGGCAGTCATTTCTCCAGAACGTGTATATGCATATCGGTGCTGTAACATTAAGGTTTGGATTTTCAAAGGGATTTAAGCTGACCAACAGAACCTGTTCCCAGCAGTTTTTGTCGTGGTTGTTCTGTTGGGAAATCCTGGTCAGAGCGACAGGTACAGGGCAATTGCTGACCACTTAGAATTCATGGTTATTGGTTCTTCACAAGCACAGCCTTTCAGGGAGGAGGGCTTGAAGGACTTGATACGGTGTCACTTGTCATTCTGGGACTTAACGCAGAGTAAAATTGGTCTTTAATTGTATTGCTGTCTTTCTGTACAGGAAAACCAGATGTGGTAGCAAGTCTTGATTGTAGAACATGTGCATTAAATGACCAGCTGTAGAAAAGTCATTGTAATACTGTTTGTCCAGTAATTGTATCCTCTCCCACTATGTAATGAATGTCTTATATTAAGATTGACTTTATCCTTTTTCTAATTTACTCAGTTTTTCCTGTCAGTATTTAAAAACAAAACCAAAACGTGTTGCCTTTTTCAGATTTTGTTCTGGATATTGCCTGTCTGCAAACAATAAGTAGCAAGATAGGGAAGTTTTTCAAGGTACCGTTTAATATTGCACCTAGATTTGCCAGCAGGTTGCATATTTTAAAATATATACATTTGTATAGGGAATTTACAAGAGGGACAAGCTGTAAATTCAAGGCATTGAAGAAGGTGCTGTTAGCAGGTCATTGGAGAAACAGCACCACTACAGCAGACTAGTTAACTGCCCCAGAAGAGAACAAATGGAACAGCTGGGCAGGTAATTCCTAGTACAATACTCTCGCACATCTGGATGCCTCAGTTTTTTAACATTGTGTCTATTTTAATATTTTCCACTTTTTGTGAGTTCATACATCTTGTTTAAATGCAGTACTGTTAAAACAACTAAAATACACGTAAAGGTTTTCTGTAGTCAAAAGTGAAACTATTGCTTGAATATGTTTGTTTTAATTTTAAGTTAATTTTTCATGGCATTGCTTTTTTGGAGTGTTTGAAACGGTTTTTAAGAAATTTCAATTCGCCAAAAATATTCTGAATTACTGTATTCTAGTCAATATGATATTGAATGTACTAGACTAACAATAAACATTTTGTGCAATTTGGAAACTGTTGTATTCTTGGTGGTTGGGTTTTTTCCCCTCTAACTCTTACTCGGGAAAGTAAGGAACAACACTGGTGCCACTCTTTACATGGGAGATCCAGAGTTGAACCTGATGACCCTCATGCTTGCTCAGTCAACTCATTAAATAAAAATAGTATGAAAGATTACAATACAAATCATTCAGTTTGTGATATGGAAAAAGAGTATGTTTATGTGTAAATTTTGGTCAATAATGGGAACTTGCTACTTTTCCTTTTTTCTGTTCTGGACCAATTTTCTTATTATATAGTGGTTTTGGGGGTTGGGGGTTTTTTCTGTTGTTTTTCTTTGTGGTTTTGTTTTTTGATTTTGGTTTTTTTTTTTTTTTTCAGTTATGTAAGACATAATTTTGCTCCTGTCCCTATAGGAGTATCATTGCATTAAATATAGACAGGCTGAACTTAAAATGCATTTCTGCTTGGAAAACAAATATGTCAATTAGCCTTTTTGTTTTTCCTCTGTTTAATTGCAGTTCTCCCAGCTGACTCCTCCCAGGAGTAACAATAGTGCTTTTTCCAGGAGCATTTGCTGCTGTGGCAGAAATGTGATTTCTTTGTCTTCCTGAAGCAAATGCTTTTAAAAGCACTTACTTCTCTATTTTCTATGCCTCCGGGTTTTAAAAAGTGCAACAAGTACACCGAGTCAAGATGAAGCAGTGATAACGTGGATTTTAGTTTGCAGATGGACCTTTCCAGAGTTAACAAAGTCCTTTTAAAGGAGGCTTGAGCATCTGAATGTGGTTTTTGCAACTTTTGCTGTATTTATTGAATTACGGTATAAAAATGGGACACTTCAAAGACTCTGAAAGAGTGGGTTACCATGGTTTTCCAAAGTTTTTAAAAGTTACCAAAATTCCAGATCAGTGTTAGCAGACAGACTTAGATTATTCCATGTAATATGTTTTTACACTGTTTTGTTCTAATTAATTGGTTTTTTGCCTCATTTGAAGGGCCAAGCCTGTGTCAGGCCAGCAGCATTCTCGTTGTTCCCTAGACCAGCAGTTCTCAATGCTGGCAGCACACTGGAGAACGTAATTCTGAGGCTCAGGGTTATTGCTGTGGTACATCATAAATTGCAGTATGTTTTCTTACATGGTTTTCACAGCTGGTAACTGAACTCTTACATGCTGATTATGAGAACTGTGTCAATCACACAGGTGTCTTCGTATTTTTAGAGCTGCTTCTTGGTGAAACGTTTGTAGCATTGGGGCTGGAATGGACAATTTAAAGAGAAGATACTGAAGTTTTTCATAGAGACTTTTCTATTAAACCTCTTGCTTCATGTTCCTCAGGCTCAGGACCCTGCTGCTTGTTTGGAAACCTCTTTGAGTCACCTACACAATTCTTTATTTAGGTCTGGTGTATTTAGCCACGTGATTTCTCTGGAGCCTAAGGCAGTCATGTTTACATCATGTGCTTGACTAAGTCTTTTCTCTGTGCTTTGCTATTTTTGAAAGAATGCAGGATGTTAGTTTCTGCTCACTAATTGCTTTCAGCATCAATAGGTGTCAGAAGATTAAAGCTAAAAATAGTTAACAAAGGAACAACCAGGATGGCAAGGCAGATGCTTATTGGCTGTGTGGCGTGGGTGCCATCAGGCTTTGTGCCTTCCCTGTGACGCTGAGCAGGTTCCTTAGCTTGTGGCATGGACTGTTGTTCCTCAACAGCTAGAGGCTGCTTGCTGTCATTCTCCTACTATTTCAAAGTGTTTAATTCATTATTTGACTAAATTCACTAAACGCTGTCAGGGTCTGAAAAGGGAATGTACATAAGGCATCTGAAATGTTCGCTAGTGGCTATTTGGAAGGGTTCGGATGCTTTTAATCTGGTGTTACAGTGGCACTGGGAGGACTGGTGCTGCCCAGCTGTGCTCAAGCACTAGTGTGGTGGTGACACTGTGCCTGGGGCTAAACACACCAGGCTGTTCCGTGTTGGGTTTTGGATGTGCCTCGCAGCCTGTCTTGGAAATTCAGCACAATGGAAGTTTGAGGTGAAGCACCTTCAGGGAATCTGTGCCATGTACAACCAGAACTAACGTAGTAGTTTGGTCTTACAGGTCCAACCTCTAGGGAAAGCGGTGGTTTCTGTACAGATGAGTTTTCAAATTTCTGTTTGGATAGTATTTGTAGTGGGCTGACATTTTGCTACTGAGCTGGGTGTCTACTAGTTTGTTTTCCCACCAGGCATCTTCCTCCTGTTGTAGTGAGCCTGACTGCGAGCAGGAAGGGTGGTGGTGCTTCCCTCCTTAGAACCAGGGCACTTGTTACGAAGGATAAGCTGGGGAACCAAAATCCTCTTGCAGAAGGCTAGCAGTGAAGCCAGCCACAGTTTTGTAACAGAAGTTACATCATGGACTCTAAGGAGGCTAGTGTGCTCTCCCAAGGGTATATTGAGATGTCTCTGTTGCTGAGCAGCATGAGCCCTGCTGGCAGCCGATTTGTGTGCCCAAGTCCTTGACTGCCTTTGAAAATCTCCCTTAAACTTTCACATGGGTGAAAATCCATTAGTAGAGACCTACTGAATTAGTAGGTTTTGCTCCAGCGGACATCTTGCTTTCTGGTGTGTGATGTTTGCTTCCAGGAATGACACAGTTTTGGTGTTCAGACAGTGACCAGCCACAGTATGTGGCTTCCGTGACATGGTCAGCCAGCAACCCAGCCTCACCTCTGACATGACCCTCAGACCAGACCACAGGATGTTTGGATGGAGAGCTGTAGTCATTCAGGATGTTGAAACACCAAAACCCAACCCACGATACCTACTGAACTTTGGGAACCTGTGGTACATTTGGCTTCAAGCAGCAATAATTTAGTAGCATCATAAATGCTTGAGGGTTAAGCATCATTGCTGTGGGAACTCAGCCATATTCTCAAATTAAAACCATGCACTTGAGAAGCTGAGGATTAATTTAGAAAGGGAATTTGGTTTTTTATTTGCTTGGGGTTTTTTTAATACATGTCTTCATATGTGAACATTTGACTGAATGAAAATGGCTTTTGTCTGGAAGCTGATGTTGATGCTAAGCAGCTTAATCAGCCTTCTGCTAAATCAGGGAAATAAAGCTTGAAGGGGCTGGGAGGTATTTTTAGCCCATCCTCTGCCTGCAGGCAGGATGAACTCTGCCTGTCATTCCTGATGTGCTTGTCCAACCTGTTCTAAAAAGCCACTAACAATGGGGCTTTCACAATCCTCCCAGGCAGTTTATTTCAGTATTTCACCCTCTGCCCTCTTAGACTTTTTTTCTGCTGTCCAAGCAGCATTTACTTTGCTGTAGACAAAGCCCGTTACTCCTGTCCTGTCTGCAGTGGGCTCAGGGAAGAGCCCTTCCAGGCAGCTTCTATATAGCTGGAGACCCCCACTTCTTCCCTTGCTTTTCTCTCCCCTAGATTTAAACAAACTCAATCCCTTCAATCGT